TCCAAATTTTCTTCAACGGAGAGTCTCCAGACTGATTAGCGAGTGAAACCTTGAAAGCTCGCGAGATCAGGATGGTCTCACGAGGCTAGGAAACGTTAGCCTGTAGATACAAAATCCCATTATGCACCGCAACATATTTTTGCAAAATTTTCGAAAATAAATTCGCCAAATATAAGAGGAACATCTTAAAAGATTTTAAAGAACGCATATTAGTTTTATTATAATTTAGTTTGTTGCAAGGATTTTACAGTTTGAAAATTGCACCTTAATGCCAACCATCACAAGGATGTGCATGAAAAGGAAGAGCTATATATACTGCATGCATCATTTAGGGAGTTAACATTATATTACTTCTTGAGCTCCCTTAGTTATTTACTGTCACAGGTAGGGGCTTCGGTCGGAGAGTAAGTGTTGGGGCCGGTATGATTTAAGAAGGGCCCTCACACCCTGAAATTAGGACCGGCCCACCAGGCAAATGCCCGCTATCACAGATTACCAGTCTGAAGCCTGACAGCAACTGAACCTTAATACTTCATTACTTCAAAATTAACATGAAAAAATGTTGATGTAAATAAGAATAATGTAAGAGAAAAGTGAAAAGTAGTTCTTATTGCTTCTTTGGTTGTAATAGCTTCTTCTAGGAAGAAACTGGGAAAAGCAGAAAATCTCCTCAGCCAGTATTCAAGTCTGTAAAATGGAGGAGAGCACATAGAGATAGTCACATTAAAGCCAATAGCTAGGTCTAGAAAGAGCTAACCAGTGAAAGAAAGGAATAAGTGGATTGCCAATAGAAGGAAAACATGAATTCGTCAACAGCAGCCCTGCTGACACATCTCTTCATGACGGAGACACAGATCAACTGAACCCAAGGTCAGGTCAGATGGAGAAACTGTAAGGAAGAAAAAACGGAGAGAAAAAAATAAATAAAAATAAAGCAGCAGAAAGTATCAGAAAAATGGAAATAGTCTCCATGTCCTCCTGCGCTCATAGGCTCTGTCAGGATGGCCGAGAGGTCTAAGGCCCCGTCCACACGAGGCCTGGCATACATTTTGCAGCATTTTCATGCATTCGTGTGGACGATCACATTTATTTTACGTCTCCGTCTTTACGACAAACGTTTTGGAAAATATCAGCGTTTCGTGTTCGTTTTGACTTCGTGTGGACGGGGCCTAAGGCGCTGACGGAGACACAGATCAACTGAACCCAAGGTCAGGTCAGATGGAGCAACTGTAAGGAGAAAAAAACAGAGAGAAAACAAAAAATAAAGCAAAAAAAAAAATAAAATAAAATAAAGCAGGAGAAAGTATCAGAAAAATGGAAATAGTCTCCATGTCCTCCTGCGCTCATAGGCTCTGTCAGGATGGCCGAGAGGTTTAAGGCGCTGACGGAGACACAGATCAACTGAACCCCAGGTCAGGTCAGATGGAGCAACTGTAAGGAGAAAAAAACAGAGAGAAAACAAAAAATAAAGCAAAAAAATAAAATAAAGCAGCAGAAAGTATCAGAATATTGGAAATAGTCTCCATGTCCTCCTGCGCTCATAGGCTCTGTCAGGATGGCTGAGAGGTCAGGGCGCAGTCTCCCCTGGAAGCGTGGGTTCAAATCCCACTTCTGACATTGCCAAAAGTCTAATGTCTGAGCTCAATCCAACACTTCTCCCTGAGTGCTGCACAATGGCAGCCCACTGCTCCCCAAGGGGATAGGTTAAATGCAGAGAGCTAATTTCTCTATTATTAAATTTCTATCTTTTTCCTACAGCTGCATAATAGCTATGGAGAATTGTAACTCCTCAGACTATTAGCCCTATTAATCAGAAAAGAATAAGATTAGCCAGTAGATGAACCTGACAGCTATAAGATTGGTCTCCTTTTAGAAACACCAGTTTGCTATAAATATAGAAATGCAGGTTTTAGCTCACATTACCTATACCTTAATTTATAAAATGAAACAGAATATATTTATAATCTGAGCTCTGAAGGATTCTGTTTTAATTAATACTCCTTTAAAAGTAGAAAACATACTGAACCCGACTTTTGATCCAGATATGAGGCTTTGCTATTTTTTTTAACTCTCTATTAGCATGCTTCCAAGCATGCATGCCTCATATCATTTATGATAAACAGAAAAATGTGAAGGTTTAGCAGATTGTTGCAACTTTAGATACATTAATCTGTAAAGTTGGTTAGCTGTAACCGCACAGATTTGATAGAAATCATGTAAAAGTGCTGCAGAGGGTCTGTTATAAAAACACTGAATGATTAAACATTTGAAACAAGCCATTCAAAGTTGACGAAAACCCTTTTAGAAATGATTCCTGACCCAAATCTGTCCTAATTAATGCCAAAACTTTGACACCTTGCCGTGATTAGATGTACAACCTGAGCTCCAGCAGCTCTTTTCTTCCGAGCCAACACTGATGGCTGGGTTAGAAAAAGCTCCATCACAGAGCTGCAGACCCTCTCTTTGCAAACAGCTACCTCCTCTGGAAGAAAAGATGAGTGTGTGTCATGCTCTGCATTCATCATCCACAGAGAACATTGCAAGCAGATGTTTTCCCCTCGTCCCTCAGTGAGGTCTCTTCCTGGAGGTGGAGGGGGGGGTTCCTCCGCTCCCCCAAACTTTCAGTTGATCCTGCATGAAAGTAAATATCTGGTTTCACTCTGCAGGCTGCAGAAGCGCCGTCCCACCTCAAAGGGAGAATTTACAGAGAATAACAAAAGCACTAATCACAAAGGGAGGAAAACTGGTGCTGCACTGGCCTCTACAGGTTCAGTGCAGGTTATTGCAGTCACACTGAGGGGCTTTTGATCCTGCATTAACCTGCAGGGGCCACAGAGAGGCTGACTTTCTGCACAATGTAAGAGCTGAGCCACGCATCCAATTATCACCGATACAAATCTGGCTTTTTTAGAAGAGCTCAAAGAATCCTGAACATTCAAACAGCTTGATCATTTTTTTTATGTTTTGATTTAGATTGAGTTTGTCTTCTTTTTAGGATCAGAAGTATTGTATTTGTTTTCTGCTTCTTGTGATTGGCTGGAGCAGCTGTCAGGCTGACATGCTTCACATTTGACCAAAAAGAGACCCTCCTCCTGCAGACTGAGGATGCTTCAGAGGCTGTTATAGGAGCCACCATCTAGTGGCCGTCAGCAACTTCTGCATCACTGTTTTCGGACTAACTGAGTTCATGAACCGCATCACTGGAAAATGACTTTCTTTGCAGAAAGATTGTTTCAGTTAATAAAAGAAATGCTGCAAAACATTGATTCCTAATAACAAATTTGGACCCTTTTCCTCTGAGGGGAACCATTCAGCTTAGATTTTTTGTTTTAAAATAACAACTTTTAAAGAGGGTCAGAGCTGGATAAGAACCAGATCATCCATGTGAGGTTAAATTAGTGAAGAAAGGAGGTAATTTCCCTCTGAAAATGTAAACCTTTCCAGGAAAAGAGTGAGTATTTCCTCCCCCACCCCCCAAACATTCCTGCCCTCACCTCTGCACCGTCCAAACACCTTATCTGCTTTTCCCGAAACACTTATGTTGATCATTGCATGATTTAAAAAAGGTTTATGCATGAAAACATTAAAAATTATATTCATAAATTTAACTTTCCTCACATATAATCCATTTTTAGTCTGGAGTTACTTTGTTTATACACTTTGAAGTGAAGGTAAAAGTTTTTTTATTTGAAAGTAACACATGGAAGATGTTTGTATATTTGGACCTCCTCTAGAACCTTCATTCTGAGCAGAACAAGTTTTCCCGTGGAGCTCTAGAAATCAGGACATTCCTGTCAGACTGCCTGGTTGGAATTTGAATAGTTCAGAGCAGCCGCCTGCAGCTGATTGGTCCGCAGGGACGGCTGCTTTGAGCGCCTGTCTGTCACTCAGAGGAATCCAGGCAGCTGATTGGTCAGTTTAGAGAAGGGCGGGTTTTGGGAGGTTTATATATAAGCTATGTGGTTCGAGGGCTTCTGTAAATGAGAGCTGATCCTCAGCGGCGCTGCGCTGTGTCCAATGTTTCCACTCACAGCTGACTGGAACAGCTCGAACAGAACCGAACCAGATCATTGACAGGCGGTTCCGATCTCCCGGACTGGAGCTGGATGGAGGTGGACCGGGGGGCCATGGAGTGCGCCGTGGACGCACAGAGCCTGATCTCCATCTCCTTAATGAAGATCCACAACTCCAGGACGCAGAGAGGAGGCATCAAGCTGCACAAGAACCTGCTGGTGTCCTACGTGCTGAGGAACGCGCGGCAGGTCTACATCAAGGAGAAGTACGCAGAGATCTACAGGATGCAGCAGTACGAGGAGGTGATGGCGGTCTGCAACGAGATCCAGGAGCTGGACCCGCTGGACCTGGGCGCGGAGGACGGGGACGAGGAGGAGCAGGGACGGGCTCAGTGCTGCGGAGAGGAGAGCCGGACGGCGGGCAGCAGAGAGCCGGAGCAGCCGTACTACCGGAGCTGCTGCATGGAGGCTCCAGCCTGCGAGCAGTTCTCCCAGAACAGCAGCACCTACTGCAACAAAACCACCGTGCTGGACTTGGACACTCATGTGGTGACCACGGTGGAGAACGGCTTCCTGCATCAGGACTGCTGCTGCGCCGCGCCGCAGTGCGCACCGGGCGCACCGGGCGCTGCGCCCAGGAAGCGGAAGGTGGACTTCGGTTGTTGCGCTCCGGACTCGGAGGAACTGTCGGACTTCACTGTGGGGCGCAAGAGGTTGAAACGGGAGGACTACTCGAACCCGGACTGTAACCCGGACTACACGGACACGTCCAACATCTCCAACCTGATCTCCATCTTCGGCTCCGGCTTCTCGGGGCTGCTGAGCCGCCAGGCGGACCTGGAGCAGGTCTGCAGCAAGCAGGCGCTGGCCAGCCTCGGAGCCTGGACCCGGGCCATAGTGGCCTTCTGATCAGCTCCGGGTCAGGTCGCCCCCTTTGCCCCATAGCGCTGTTTCCTATCCGTGAAGGAGCTATTTCGTACCCAGGTGTCGAAACAAGGACAAACGAGTTCATTCATTTTAGACAATTAAAAAGGTTTCTTATTAAATCCAACTTTAAATCACAAGAAAACGTCAATTTAATGTCAGTTTGGAGCAGTTTTTTACACTAAAATATGACAGATTCTGACCTTTAATCAAACCAAAACAACTATTTAACCTCCTGCTGGTAGAAATTATTTATTAGAGTCTAATAAAATAAAACAAAGCAGGTACGAAATGGCAAAGGGGGCGAAATGACCTGCAGTGGATCTGGACTCAGACAGGTTATCTGATCAAAGGGAGACCGGGCTCAGTTGTTCTGTGTGGGAACATTTCAGAACCTGTTCCCAGTTTACACAGTGAGGAGAGGAAGGGGGCTGGTTTCATTTTGCACATATAGGAGGCTGAAGTCGCTCCTCATGAAGCTCCATCAGAAGGTTCTCCAGAAACATTTGAATTCCTCCTTTGCACAGCTGTGCAGAGAATCCCAGTCAGATCCCAATTATCTGCACACACGTCTGCAGAAAGCCAGGCCCAAACACAGCAAAACAAATCCAATCAGGTCTCCGGTTTGATGTTTCTTTTAAGAAGATTTCAGGCTCCTGTCTCCTGCCTCAGCCATCTTTAATCACCTGATGTCAACAGCTGTGACGCAGTCCTGTGTGAAGGTTGGACTGATGCAGGGTTTTACCTCAGAGCACACATGTGTCTTAAAATAAACATGGACAGGATGGACAGGCGTGTCACTCAGAGCTTATTGGAGGAAACGTAGGCGTTTGCAGCTGAGCCCGGCCTCCTCCTTCAGAGTCCAAACAAAAACAGAGCAGATCTGTGCGGAAGAGGCAGAACACTTTGGTGCCGTATCTGCAGACCCAGGATCTGAGGGACTTCTGTTGCCTTAAAAGTGATGCACACTACTGCTAGCTCCGATGGAAGTGACTGAATGTTCTGCTGTCCACTCTGAGCTGCCTCTTGCACAGCCTGAGCAGTTCGTCAGCATGTCGATGACAAACAGACTCTGCACCTCCTCTGTGGTCACTAGCATCCTTTTCCTTTCAGTCGTTGTCGCCGTTCTTTATGACTCCAGCTTGGTTTTGTCAGTTTTAAACTTTGTAAAAAAAAACACAACAGATTGATCATAGTCCTTTTGTTTTAAAAAGGGAAGCTCCTGATTTCAGCCATAACCCCGAGGATCCATGCGTTAGCTTTACGAGCACTATGTGTACCAAAAGAAAGAGAGTATTCAGCCATTCTCGACATATTTTCTTTGTTATTCTTGTATTTTTGTGCTTAATAAATTGTATATCTCCGGGTGAAACTGTTCGAGAAAGTATTTGTTAAAATTTATAATCTTAATAAAAAATAAAAGTCTTTCATCTTAACTGTTGTGATCAGTTTTTCATTCTACATGATGTCTGAACTATAAAACAACCAGGGAAGATTAACGAGGATCTCTGTTGATCATATAAACCTGGAAATATGATAAATCAAAGAGAGCAAATTAACTCATTTCTGTTACGGATGAACTTCCAGAAACTTCAGAAGCTAAATCCAACCTCAGATGAGAAACAAAAGATTCATCAAACCTCCTCTGTAGGAACTCAGCTCATCAGGGTTTAGTTCAGAGAATCCTAATTGGTTTGAGGTCTGGACTTTGACTAGGCCACTAAAACATTTTCCTGTTTTAGTCTTTTTTTTTTGTAAATTGACTCACTTTGGACTTCAGATAAATGTGCTTTATAGGGCAGTCAACGATTCACTAAAAGACTGGAAGGTGATCAGCTACTTAAGCCCAGATCATCACCCTGCCACCACCGTGCTTAGCAAAGCAGCTTGATATATAAAGCACATTTAAACACAATTCAAAGGGCTACACATTAAAAATCGCATTGCAGTGGCATTGAGGTAATTAAACAAGAAAATTAACTATTTAAATAATATATAAAGAAAACAAATTGTATTAAAAAAATGTAAAAAAATGATTGATAAGAGAATAAAAGGACAATTAAATTGAAAACGTAGCTAATTATGTTTAGATACCTCAGTCAAAGGGCTCTCAATACATTTTTAAACTAGATTTAAAGCAGCTGAGGAAATCAACGCCTTATAAATTTTTCTGGGAATATATTCCAGATTAGCGCAGATTAAAGGAATAGTACACCCAAAACATGATTAGCCTTCATTTTCTACTCACCCCCATGCTGA